CTCTCCCCCAAAAATCCCCACCCCAAAACCAAAGTAAAAAAGGGGCAACTTAAATCAAAGCTGCACCTTCAGAGGGTGGTTACTAAGGTTGCACAATATTTCAGTTCCAGTTCCAGAGTTTACATTCAATTGTATCTTTTCTTTCTTAGGAATCTTCCTTATAGCAGGCGTAACATACTCAGGGAAAGCAAAAGGTACAGACAAAGTGAACTGGCCATTATCAAATGACAATTTCTGAGACCAACGGAGCGTAATTGAAAGATTGGAACCCCCCATCAATCTGGAAAGATATAACAAAAATACTCATCAGCAGGTTAAAACTACATTACAGAAAAAGTACCAGTGCTAGATTCCTGCAACAAGCTCACCTGTGGTATTGTTAAAGTAAATATATGAGGCTTCAAAAAGCCTGCATCTTGAGATCCTCCTCTCTTTTGAATATCCTTGTTGTCATCCAGGGCAATTAGTTGAGTAGAATATGATTTCCTAGGAAGATCAACCTCGACACCTAGAATTGAACCCTGTTAGCCAAATAATATATTGCTTGAGAACATTAATTAATAAGCAAAATCCTTTCGACTCTAGAATAATGACTAACTTCTCCTACAATTCTAAAAGCAACCATACACAATAACATATCTCCCAACATACAATTTAAAACCAGAATAATCAAATCTTTTTTTTTTTTTCTCTTTCTTGTAAAGGATTAACCGAAACTAACCTGCTCCCCCATAGGAACAGCAATACGGCAATCGCAGCACCGGCTACCCATTACACAATGGACCCTCCAGGACCCAGAAACACGAACAAAAGCGGTATCCAGATAACAATCCACATCTAACTCAACACTATTCATCTGGAGAGGAATCAGGGCAGGCGGATCGCACCTGCCGTGCACATAAGGCTGGTAACTCGGCATGTCTGGGTTGTCCACAATGGCCGGATTGTATATCACAGCGTAGACCATTGGCGCGGTTGGCAAATAGGACTGCATCGACCTCTCCATCCGCGGGGGCGTGCTGTATGGCGCCATGGCACGTTCCTTACCCATGTATACCCTCTTCGCCAGCCTGAGTCCATCCTCTACGGCTTTCCCAAAATCCTCCGCCATTGATAAACAGAACAAGATTTCTTCTTTTCTCTCCTAGTAAACGAAAATTGATAACGTTTTGGGTTTCAGAATCAGAAATGTTTTGATCAAGCAAAAAAACGAGAAAAAAGAAGAGAGAATGCAAAGAGGAAAACTTCGGAGTTTGGTTTCTCACTGCAAATGGCGCATTTGTGTATATTTTTGTTTATTCGTTTTTATGCGTGTTTGGTGTTTTCTATTATGTGGTTAACGCCACACCCAAAGGTGTTAAGTCCACTCTCGAATGTTCGTTTTTGACAGTTTTGTCCTTGTAATTGGAGTAGGTGGACGCCACATCATTCTAATTGATGAACCCTCTTTTTTTTTCTTTTTTTCTTTTTTTCAAATAGTGAGTTAAAGGTCAAACCTCTTTTTCCTTGGGTCATTGCCTTTTGTGATAACTATTTACTTAGAGCATCTCTATTAAAGATGTTTTACTACAGTTTTTTTAAATATTATATCCTTATAATTATAATATGTATTATTTTAATTATTCTACATCTAAAAACTTTAAAAAAGACTTCCTATTAATAAAGAAATTTAAGTGAGACTTTTTAAAAGTTTTATTAATATTATTTTATTTAATTTAAGTTTACTTAATTTTTTTTGCATAAAGAAAGAACAAAAAAAAAATTTAAAAATAGGGAATATGCACCCCAATTAGAATCTCTATTTTCTAAAGAAAAGATATTCCTACCAAATTAGATTATTTGAATTCTAAATAACTAGTCTTTTTTTTTTTTTGTGGATGATAAATTATTCACTTCCAATTGGATTGTTAGAGTGAATTTTTTATACTCTTTAATGCATTTTGAAATTTTTGTTATTTTGATTAATCAAAAGTTTATGGTGATTTTATTTTAGAAACTTAAAATGGATATAATTTTTAATTTGGTGCAATTAAACTATAACTCTAACCTATAAATCTCCATGAATTAAGATTCTGTTTATTATAGTTTTAGTTTTTGGTTTTTATTTTTAATATATTTAATAACTAGTGTTATCTTTAAATTAAATTTAATAGATTCAAAATTTATAATAAGCTTTGATTTCTAAATGGAGTCTAAATTATAAATATTGTAAAATGTACCCAAAAAATTGTAAATATTGTAAAGATAATCTCATCATTATGTATTCAGATAAATTAAATCCTATCAC